CTTCAACTTTGTAATTTTCAAGGGTCCTTTGTGTATTTTCCCTAGCTCCTCTCACTTCCTCATCTCTTTGGCAGTGTGGGGGCCATGTATCTCAGTAGTGATTACAATAGTGATGAAAGCCCTTTTTTTGTTGTTGGGGCTGACCAGCAAGGTGGGAAATGTTGTCTTGTCCATCACTGGCATGCTAATCTGCTGCCAGCTGCACCCTCATCTCATCTTCCCACCTCCTGGGAGACAGCATATGATGCCTTCCTTGCATTCATGAGGGCTGCTGCTGCTGTTGGCTCCAGATCAGCTGGCTGCATGGCATAAAGAGCAATGCATCCCCCCATGACAGCACATCTGTAATTACTGGGAGACATTTTTTCCTGTAGCTGCACATTTCTACTCATTTTCAGCAATAACAGCTTCGTCTTGGGTATCTTACCCAGTGTCTTGCAATCAGGGATTTAGGCATCTCTTTTTGGCTTTGAAGCTGGTCATCAGGAGAAAGCATCAAGCAAGTTTCTTGCTTTATCTGCTCATGCTTTTTGCTATGCTGTCACCATTATCTGTGGCAAGTTGTGCGGGCTGACACTTGGTTAGTACTGGGGTGAATGATGGATGCCAGTGGTTTGGGATCACTGTGAAGTCTTATGTGGTTTCTCCTTGGTCGAGGTGCCTTCCCCAGTGGCTCCTCCACTGGTGGAACCTTCCCTCCCATGAGGCCTCCTGGCATCTGGAGTGCAGTTTTTTACAATATCCCTTTTACAGTGCAACCTCTGGGACCGAAATCTGGCAAACAGCCCATTTAAAAGTGCAAACCTTGAAGCTCTTGGCATCCCGGGAGGCTACCAAAACCCTGCTGATGCATCTGCTCTGCTGAAAAACTTGGCTTCAACCATCATAGCTCAGCTCCCACTCCCTGAGCTAGTGGAAGTGCTGCTGGGCTGCCTCTTCTTAGGGCTGATGCTGCCAGGGCTCTGCTCCCTGCCTTGTGCACGTCTCTACAAGCACAGCATTGCCCTGCTGTTTTCTGCCAGGTAGATTTTAACCTTTTAAAGCACAATCACAAGACCTGACTGTATCACCTGTTCTTTCAACTTTCCCCAGGATCCTCTCTCCTGTGTGCCTTGAGCTGGACTCTGGAATTGCGTGTGGTTTTTCACCCCAGGAACAGAAATAGGGACCAAGAGAGCAAGCAGCTGAGTGCAAAGGAGTGTAACTGAGGAGCCTGTTTTAATCACAGCTGTGGTGGTGACAGCTAGGCCACCCTGAACAGGAGGGTTTTACTAAAGAAAGATGTTTCTGCATAGCTTGAGCTCCAGCTAGCTCTCCCCATTTACTAGAAATCATGGCAAGGACCTCTACACCAAAACTGAGATATTACAAATCATGTAAATACCATGTGGGAAAGCTGACAGCCCTGTGACTTTCAGGGCTCAGGAGGGACCCATCTTATTCTTGACTTCCATAACTGTGGAAGTTATAGTATAACTATGGTGCCAAAAGCATCGTACAATAGTCTGGAGTCCCGCATTGCCCTTTTCTTGCCTTGGCTGCTCCAGTGCATAAAGTAAGCAAGGTCTGTGGGCAGCTGCCTGCCCACAGCTCATGTGTTGGCTGCAGTCATGCTAAGGACAGGTTAGAAAGAGTGCCACGAGCTTAACACCAAGAGGCACTTCTCCAACCTCTCATTCATCTACCCACAAGCCTCTCACTCCCCCTTTCAAAAGAAAGGAAATTGCTTCAAATTTGGGAAATTAACTATAATAGTAAGTAAATTGAGCACCTGAGTCATCCCACCGCATATTTTTAAAAAGGTGCTTGCTGCTGGGATCCCAAAGCTCCTGCTAAGGAAGCCAGTTTCTTCCTCACAGTCTCATAGGGACATTATCTTGCAAAAGCCCCCTCCGTCCCCCCCCCAAAATGTTTCCTTGAAGACGTCCTTTCTACCTCATTATAACTACTTCGTGTTTGTGTTTTCCAAGTTTTGATCACATTAATGATTACAGTGAAACAGGATTCTTACTGGCAGCACAAATCACTTTTTCAAGATGACACCAGCACTTACAGTCTTATTACTGTCATTAACAGAATCATTATTATGACTTTGCCATGCTCCCCCTTTCTAAAGAAAGCAATTCAAATCCAAATATTCTGACTTAAAAATATCCCATCCTCATTCTCTTCTCTAACTAAAAAAGAGGTCACACCAGCCCTTCTGGGTAATAGAAGAACATCTTTCTATGGACTTGCTTCTGCTGTGGTTTAGGTTACTCAGTGCAGTTCTCAGGCCTGTGTTTTCCTAATTGTACAGCTGCTGAATTCAGCTGTGTCTGAGCTCAGCAGTGGTCTTCAGTCTTTTGTAGCCTGTCCCTGCTTTGCTGGCTGGGTACAGAACCAGGGTCTGCAGCTGTGGGGAGCAGCAAATGTTGCTTTGTGGAAAGGTGACACTATCAGATGTTGGCCAGGTGTCACCAGATGTGACTTGCTCAAAGGACCTGAAGGTGATCCAGGGGATTGATCCCAACATCTCATTTAAGATGGGATGCCTCTCCCCTTTCACTTGAGCTTCAGGGTGAGCTGGATTTTTGGCTACCCTGAAATTAGCTGCCAGACAGTAAAACAGGGAGCTGACAGACTGTTTGTCACAGTTGGGACTGTCTTTGCCAGGCTGAAGGTAGCTGGATGATAGGGTACACAGGAAAGGACACATTGTTCCTTGTCTTGGCCATTATGGTTTTACAAATGACTATTCCAAGCTTAGTTCCAAAATGGTGTCGTGGCTTTTTGTGCTGTCATCAATTGCCATCAACACTGCATTTAGCTGACATAATTACTTATTGTTACAATCAGTGCCCATTAGGTTAAAGCTAAATTACAGTCTCAGTCCTTGGGAACTGCCTATTACATCCATATGAATACGCAAAGTTCATCACTCATGATTAACGTTGCTACAGTGAATACAAAAGGAATTAGTGAGGACCTGTCACTTATTGTAAAGTGCTGCCAGATTATGGTATCAGAAGTGATGTGTCAACTGTTGAAACTTAATAATCCATGCTGGAGTGCTGTATCTGATTATAACACTGATCACAAGAGAGGCCTGATTGGCACTTGGAAACGGAAGCTGGGTGGTTATGAGACCGATAACCTACATGGGTCAGGAGCTGCTGACCAAACGCCAGAGCCACAGATCTGCGTGCTGACCCCCTAGCCCTGGGAGCTATGAGGGTGTGGGGACACTCCTGGGGGCATGTGCCTGGGCGCTGGTGTGGATGGGAGAGGATCAATGTGCTAGTGGTGCATTGGCACATATCTGAGCCGAGAAGGTGGGTGGGACTCCTGGCTGGGCACCTCCTTATTCTAGCAGGAGAGAGCCTAGGGGTCCCAGGCTGGGATTTGGTCCCCTCCCCTCTGGTTTATGGTGCAAATCACTTTGCCGTTGCCAGGGCCACCATTTCCAGGCACCCTCTCTTGTGATGATGGGACCTGAGCACATTTCCCCTGATGTGAGCTGGGGGTACCCAAGAGGTCTCCTCATTCAGGTGAGTTTTGCTGGGTACCCTCCCGTGGGATAAAAGCAGCATGCAATCATGTATGTATTGGTGAATGTATACATAGGTAAGTATATCTGTGCATGTGTGTGTGAATTTAGAAGAAGTACTAAGATTCTGTTTTGTCATTGCTCAAGGGGACTGTCTGATTTTTCTAATTTGAAAAAACTTTTTGTTTTGAAATTGCTTTGTTGGTGTTTTTTTTATTTTTTTTGACAACTCTCAAGACCAAAGCAAATGTCTTCCATCACCTCCAATGCTGTAATGTTGGGGGTTTTCTTTTTTTACCTCTTTTTCCTTCTTTTTCTAAAAAGAAACCTACAAATGAATGTAAAGATCTGATGTTGAATTCTGGTTACAAAGTCCTGGGAATAAGAGCTGAACCACACAGGCTGAAGTACACAGGCTTGACAGAGTTTGAGTAGCTGTAAATCTGCATCTGGCCCCTGCTAACCCCACAAAGCAGACCCAGGCTGAGCCAAGAGACAGTGTAGTCCCTCCAAATACATGGTGTTGTGCTCCTCATCCAGCAGTGTGCCTGGAGCCAGGCTGCGGCTTGTGTAGGACCATTGACCAAAATCCCTGCATAGGCTCTTCCTCAGAGCCCTGCATTTTTGTTTGTGGCTACTAGCTGTAGATGTTTACTACTGGTCACAACCTAATTTGCAGCTGAAAGCTGGCTAATTCATACTAGCCTATTTACTCTATCCCTTAACCAGCTTAAGTTTCCTGACAGCATTTTGCATCTCCTCTAAAGGGTATTTAAAACTCCTACAGGTCTTTGATGAAAGGCTACTGGACACTTTGTGTGACTTCGGGCAAGCACTGTGCTTTGTAATGTTGCTCAGTACAGCAGATCAGAGTACTCCAGCAGATGACAGAGGCACGCTTGTCCTTTTGATATGGGGTCATCCTTGTTACCAGACAGCCTTTGCTGTCTGAGCAGCCAGCAGTAAGGGTTGTGCATCTCTCAGTTGGTGTGTGCCAGCTGAAGGTTGCCCTTGCGCCTCCAGGTGGTTTAACCATCTTTGGCTCCTGTGGAAGGTTCATTGAGTCATAGAATAGTTAGGGTTGGAAAGGACCTTAAGATCATCTAGTTCCAACCCCCCTGCTATGGGCAGGGATACCTGGCACTAAACCATGTCACCTAAGACTCCACCCAACCTGGACTTGGACACTGCCAGGGATGGAGCATTCACAACTTCCTTGGGCAACCCATTCCAGTGCCTCACCACCCTAACTTCCTCCTTATATCTAAACTTCCTCTGTTTAAGTTTTAACCCATTACCCCTTGTCCTATCACTACAGTCCCTAACGAAGAGTCCATCCCCAGCATCCCTATAGGCCCCCTTCAGATACTGGAAGGCTGCTATGAGGTCTCCACGCAGCCTTCTCTTCTCCAGGCTGAACAGCCCCAACTTTCTCAGCCTATCTTCATACGGGAGGTGCTCCAGACCCTGATCATCCTTGTGACCTGCAATACCAAAGCAGAGTTAAACAAGATGCTTTCTAGAGATCACCAGCTTGGAGGGAATGGAGAAAGATCCATTTGCCAGTGATTTCAATGTCCTTGCTTAAGACCTCTCTGCCAGGGTAGTTGGCTGAAGGTAAGTCAATCTGCTGGGGAGCTGTGCCACTGATTTCCATAGCTGTCCACACCATGGGCTGTGAAACCTTCTGGAGCTGCGTTGCTCTGCTCAGATTTTTGTACCCATGACCTGTGTGTTCACCATAAAGTCATGTGGATTCACAAATGTGCAGCAATGGAAGGTAGGTATGTTGGTGCTGCTGCCAGGGTGTCTGCTGTGCTTGTGGATGCTCCAGACTACATGTCCAGGCAGCTTTGTGCTGCCCGATGATGCTCACCACTTGCAGCTTTTCCTGAGATCTCATCTCAGCTTTTGTGGAGTTTTTTTTGGGCTATGACTTCTTATGCATTTGCTACTGAAAACATGAAGAAAAACCTTTGGTGTATTTGAAGGCTTGTTTGTATCATGACTCCCCTTCGTGCCATTTCCTGGACCTTCAGACATACTCCCTTCCCTCCTCCAGCTTGCTCCAGCTGTCCTTTATCTTGTTTGAGGAACAGTGGCCTTTGTTGCATCAGTTCAAATCTCATTTGCCCATGGTCCGGTGTGATCCCTGGCTGCTCCTCTTCTCTTCATTGTTTTCCAGCCATCTCTCCTGCTGTTAGACAGCCAAGGGAAGAAACTGCACCCCACCTCTCTTGAATAGCATCCTAGCTTTTGGTGACCATGTCTCCTCCTGTTTCTACTTCTGCCTTGCACTGAGTACACCTATGCTGATATATGTGTGTGGCACTATACAGGGATTTTCCTCTCCCAATATATTAAAGGCCTAATAGCGGTACCAAAGATCTAAGAAATAGTCTGCAGAACAGAAAGGTTTAGGCAAGCTTTACATAGTTCTTCCACACTAAGACTTTTCTCTTGCACTGACTCTTATGTCTGGGGTTTTTTTTCTTCTTTGGTTGCCTGTGATGGCAAGAGCTGCATTTTTTTCCTTTCTTTTCCACTGCATCTTCAACAAAGCAACATAACTAAAAACACTTGTTTGGGCTAAACTGAAAACTTAAAACATCTTTAGTGTGAACCTGCAAACAAGACTTCCCAAGTCCCACTCTGTTCTGGTTCAACTGATACATCTGATCTCTGAAAAAAATAATAAAACATTTACTTATCCTAGGCAAACAAACTTCCTTTAGAGGACTTGAAATGCAATCTGTCATTTCCATTTCAAATAATTTTAAATGTCTGTATAATTTTAACCATAAAATGGGAAGTGTAACTGCCCAGTCACTGCAAATGGAAATGTTCCTTTTCAAAGCCTTCAAATGAAATATTTCATTTATTTTCTTGAAGCTTTCCTGTTGGCTGGTTTGGAAGTTGGCAATTTGTTGAGATGAAGTTGTTCAAAGTTGGCTCTTGCTGAATTTGCATATTTTTTTTTTCCCCAGGGGAGAGAGATTTAGAGAGGGAAACATTGCTTTCTATGTGCTGCATCATCGGGAGCTGCATCCCCCTCCCATGTTCACCCCCATCATGCTGGGAAGCGGAGATCTGCACTTCCTCACCTCCTTCTCCCCACCCAAGTCCTCAGGTGGAGATTCCCCTCGTTCCTGCTCTGGACATGGGATTACAGCTCTGACTCCTTTTCCCAGTGTATCATCAACATGTTGTTTCCAGGGTCATAAATTTGCACTGTGATGAGACACAACCAGATGTTAGGATACGTGAAGCGACTGGCGAAGCAGCCTGCCTGGCGCAGCCCCCACCTCCAGAGTCAGCCGCCCGCTAATGAGAAACAGGTCTCTTGCCTTGAGCTGGACCAGGACAGACGGAGAGCATCCCCAGGAGCAACTATGGAGCTGCTATCTCGACCCCCTTCCTGCTCTTAGTGCCCAGAGAGCATCTTCAGGGCTGGATTCAGGCACTTCAGCTACTACTGGCTTCTGGCAGCCATCTGGAAAGATAGTCTGGGTGGTACAGCGGGGGAACACACAAGGCCATGGTCCTCCTTGCTAGCAAGGAAGCTGGTTATAATGCTGTATGGTGCTTTATCATGTAAAAATACTTCTGAGATGCACGTTTTGGATCGTTTGTGTGCCTGAACAGGCTGTTTTGTAATGGAGAGACCCATGGGGAAGTGAGGTCTTAGCTCAGGATGCTTAACTGGTACCTTCTGCCAGAAGAAAGTGTTGACTTGGGATGCCTGTTTCCAGGTGGTTCCAGCCTACATGTCCCCATGGCTCTCAGGTGCCCAAATCCCCTGGGTGGGCAGGTTGCTGGGGCTGGGGAAGGTCTCACTGAAAAGCAGGTAAAGGGTTTACTTGCAGGGAATGTGTCCCTCATCTGTTTTGAGGGTCTTCAGGACAGCTGCAGCTTTTTGCCAGTGTCCTCTGGACACACTACCATTGCAACCCACGTCCTCGTATCCCTTGGTGCATGCATACTGGGTTATGTTCTGGGGCATGCACTAAGCATCACAGGGATCCACATCCTGATTGTAATCCCTGGATACAACCATCCTGCTAGTGCCTTTTCAATATGATCTTTTTCCAACGCTGGTAGTCCCTGCTGCCCTGGGTGCAAGACTGAGACCTGCACTGGGCTGGCATGGCACTGTCCACTCCTTCACAGCATCAGCTCCCTGTATTGCAGGGCGAGTCTAGCCTTAAAGATGATCCACTGTGGAGATCCGGCCTTACAGTTACTTTTTCTTTCACTCTTTCCCAGCCCATGAGAGCTCTGGTGGTAATTCCTCATGTGTTCTCCCACTGCACTGACATGGGCAGGTCTCCTCACTCCTTTTAGCATTCAGGTAAACACAGAGGGGAGAGCTCTATTTGAAGCAGTAGGAGCATGTTGTTACTGCACCTTACATGTTGGCCAGGGTATCTTCAGGTGATGCATGTCAGTTGGAGGTTCAGAAACTGCTTTCAAACTGCAGAAGGAGATGGAGCTTGGTAAGTCCTGCGAGGGGACAAAACACTATGGTGCCCATGGCCATGAGCATCCCTGGCAGCTCCAGTGGAGTGGGAGCCCAGCTGTCACCAGATGCTCTAGCCATCAGCCCAAGGGATGTTCCTGAAGCCATGCAGGAGGGATGGGATCAGGCAGTACCTGGGTATGCTCCCACCAGCCCTTTCCAGTGATGTGAGAGGATGAGTGAGCACTTCTGGCTCTACTCAGACTTGTGGAAGAAGCAGCCCATGGCCCCATTTGACCGTGAAGGGTTAAGCACCAGCAAGGAGAGCCCCTTGCCCTTCTCATAGGCAGGCCAGGCAAAACAGGGCTGCCCATCCACAGCTCTTGGAGTTGCACCTCACTGCCCTAAGTGTGTACAGGGAAGGAGGGGATGCCCTGTTACACCGGGTGTGGAGACCTCTGTGTCCCTGACCTGCCGCAAAGCATCCGCTCCATTGTGCACCAGTGTGTTGGAGGGAGTTTGGGTTAAAAGGGGTTAACAGCTCTCTGCTGTAACACATGATTGGTCTTTATGAGGTTGAAACTCTTGTCTGTTTGAGGCCTACAGATGATGCTAAAGAGCACAATAATGACAGCAATTCAAAGCAATCTAATTATGCAAACGGGAGGCTAAACAATTTCATCATCCTTAAATTAGATTGTCCTAATGAGATAAAGACACCAATTAATCCTGAATTAATTTCAATAGCCTATTTCAGGCAAACACTTTAATATGCAAATGTAAATGAGAAACAAAGCCTACTGTAGAATGCCAGAGTTCAAAACCTCTCTCTGCACAGCTGCAGCGGGTGTAAATAGTGTCTAATGAGTTTGCATGGAAAGACACAACCAGTTGAAAATTTTAGACTTCATAAAGCACAGCCGGTGCCTCAGGTACATCGTGGTGCTGAGCCGGGTGGGAGGGGTGGGAGGACTCACTTGGCTGACACTGGGAAGGCCATCAGCTGCTCTCCGAAGGCACATGCGGGATGGGTCCAGCCACCACCGCCACGGGATCACAGGATGAAGGGCTTTAACAAGATGCTGCTCCACAAAGCCAAACGTTTCATGCTGAGTACCTGGCCAGCCGCCTTTCTAGAACGCAGAGATGATTTTAATTAGCTGTTGTGTAATTGTTTTAAATTAGCCATTTTGCTATGCACTCCAAAAAAATCCACTCCCTTTTTTTTTTCTTTTAGCACTTGGCAAGGGAAAGGGTAGAGCCTGGGATTTAGGTTACAGACAAAAGCAAACATCGTACTGAGTTTCTCTTGCTTTGCTCCCCTGCCATCACAAAGTACCATGAGCATTTGCTCTGAGCCATCAAGTAAGCAAGCCCCCATTCCCAGGGCCCGACTGGGGTCTGACTTTCAATTTGCACTTTGCTTTAATTAGGGGCACTGGGCAGGGGTGCTGCATAGCTGCATAGGGGTCTGCAAAGGCAGCTATGGGAAACGATGGTATTGACGGTGAGGCTCAGGTCTGAATTATTTCTGTTGCTGTGTCTCATCTCCAGCAGGTCCCACAAATATACCCCAAAGGAAGCTGCTAAAAAAAATAAATATATATATATATAATAAACCCAAACTGTTCCAGAATGAGCATCTCCCAGATAATTTTCCCTCTACCCATCTTTCTGCCAAATCCATTCTGGGCTGCCATTAGAGAATAATATAATCCTAGAAAGGTTTGTGTCCTTCCAAACGTATTTCTTCATATATGGCAACCCTCGATGTTCTTCCCATTTGAATGTCAATTCTCTCTTTGAATCTCCCCAGGGTTTATCTTCAGTGCAGCTCATGCTGCAGGTGAAGGGGGCAGCCTGGGAGAATGTGCTGCCCTGGAACTGTCCTGCACAGAGATGAGGCTTCTCTTGTCTTTCCCCTGCAGCCTTTCCACTAAGCCCTGCCAAGCTACCAGCTGGATCTTGACTTCACCTACTGGTCTATCAAATTAATAGGATCAGAGGAGGTGGCAGTGACATTCCCCAGGCCACCAGCACTGGGACACACCCAGGGCAAACTTGGTGAGCGGAGCTTGACTGCCTGAGTAGTGTCCAAGGCTAAGTCTAAACATGCTGTTTAGCACTGGAGATAAAGCTGAACATCACTGGTCGACCTCCACCACACACCTTGCATCTTCCCCATGTGTTGGAGGGAATTTGCTCTTTGTTTCAGCACCACATAATTTTCCTACCCAGATATTCTATGAAGCAGTGAGATCCTATCCTTGTCACATCACCTCTTGCAAGGGCTTTATCGTTCCAAATAATGTCCCTGCTGTTTATTGTCCCTCCTGCTTTGCTTAGGAGGGCAGCTGGAGTCACTGTCAGGAATTTCACTTCTACTGAGAAATCTTGAGTAACCATCATTTGTGCAGCATGGCATTTGGTCCTTGCTGGGTGGACCACAAACATCCCTTTCCATTACTCCAGCCTTAATGGGCTTGGTGGTTTACTGACAGATGAATTGAGACAGTGAAAGGGCTGATGGCCCAGAGCTCGCAGTGTGCCAACAGATCTGGAGATCTTCTATCATACATGTTTGTCCTTGGAAAAAAGACAATTGACTCAGTAAATTGCTTAATCTCTGGCACGCTGGGTACCAGTGCCGCCTTTTCCACTGAAGCCTGGGAGATTATTTCTTTTCAAAGCATTTGGCGCTGCCTGGGCTCTGCTGTCAGAGCCGTCAGCAGTGTAGTATGAGCTTTAGCTTGAGTGGAGATGCCGTGCCATGGACAGGAATCTGGGTGAGAGCTCAGTGCTGCTGCAGCTCCCAAACCTGCTCCCAGCCAGAAGATCAAATTCCTCCTACCCAGCACTGAGGAGTGCAGGCATGCCCAGGAGCAGGAGTGCAGATTTAGTGGCTCTCAGAGACAAGGTTTGCTGGGTCTTCAGTCCGACTCAAGAGAGCAGGGGGATTACCCAGGCCAGTGGTGGTACCTGCCAGAAGAGAGGGGGACAGGCTGGGGGAGACTGGGGTGGGAAAGCCGTTAGCAGGCAAAAGCTGCATCCAAAAGAGGATGACAGATCGCTGCCTAGGGCTGTGGTTTCCTGTTAATTAATACCAGATCTGCACATTACCCGGTCACCCCATGGGAGGAATTGGGTCTGAATCAGGGGTGAGCACATGATCACATTTTTGCCAAATTACCCAGCTCGTACAATATGGTGTGCATCTGGCTCCCTGCCAGCAGCAGGAGCACAAAACAATACCTGATTCAGCAGAAAGTCTTCCTGGCCCCTTTGGAGATCTTGTGAAGCAGCAGAAAGAGTTTATATCTGTTCAGCGCTTTGCATTGTTTTCAGGCTTGGACTGGGTGCCGTAAAATTGGATTTATGGTCGTGAGGAAGCATGGCCAAAGAAGCAGAGCCTCTCATGCCAGTGCAGTTTAAAACTAGATGTGGGGATGGGCTAAAAGCAAGTCCCCCTGACTTTCCATCCAGACAGGAGCTTCGTTTCTTGGATCCATCTGTTTTTGGAGCCTTGTGATTCCCGGAGGAGCTTGGCGTACTGCTGAGATACTCAAACCGGGATGTTCAGTCATGTTCTAGTTAAAGGGCTCTAACAGTCAGCCAGGGGACTTGTAAAAATGTTACCACAGGGTCTCCTGTTTATTCTTGCACTCTCTGTACTCAGCTCACACATTAAAAGATGGTATTTTTTTAGCTGCTGCTGCTGCTGTCTGACAAATCCAGCTGTTTTCTTTCTCCCTCTGAAATCATGACATTTATAATCAGTGTTTAGTGGAAAGCCTTCTGAGTGGTACACTCTGCCTCTGTACTCAGAGAGGCCAGGTGGGCTTGTGGGGATGCTGGTGGGTGCATGCCCTCCAACTCCTCCAGCCTGGGCTCACCTGGCCAGGCTGGTGCTCAAGCTGCTGAGCTTGGGATGAGCTCCCATTCTGGGCAATTCTCTACCCAAAAAGCATGTAGCCAGCTGGGATGGCAACGGGCTGTCATGTGCCTTGCCCGGTGCATGAGTGTGAAAATCATTCTCAGATTTGCAGCCATCTGAGCAAGCTGGACTCTCCTTCTCCCTTTCTTCATGCATCCCTCTGAAAGGAGAAGGAAGCAGGGAGACCAGCTTGGGTGCCTAGTGCTGCCTGTCTGCTCTCTTC